CAGCCTAGCTGGGTATAGCATGCTGTAAGTGAGATGACGATCCCGTAGCCATTTCATCACACTCTGAAAGGCAGCACGTTGTTTCTGTGTCACAGCAGAGAAATCAGGGAAGATAGCGATGACATTATTGTTGTAAACTAGATCAGGTAGCTCATAGGCCTTGCAGAGTGCCGCATCGCGATCCTTGAAGTAAAGGATACGTGCAAGAAGCGGTCTGGCTGGGCCTCCTAGCGGGGAGCTCTAAGAGGAATTCAATGGGCATGTTCAATAGCGAAAAGTGGGGAAAAAAATTGTCAGTGCACCAAAGAGTTTTTCAACCATTATGTGAGAAATTCCTCCAGATTCTTGCTTTCTGCCCCTTCAGGGAATCCTAGAAAGCAGAGATTATTCCATCTAAGTTGGTCTTCCAGATCCCCCAGTTTAGCCGCATAAACTCTGTGCCCGACCTGAAAGTCTCTAAAGGAGGCAAAGAGAGGATAGATGTCATCCTCCACCGTACTAAGCCGTTGTTCGGCATTAAAGACCCTATGACTCAATTTATGAACATCTTCTTTCAGGAGAGAAATGTCCACTCTAAGAGTCTCAATGTGGTTAGTAAGTGAGGCCTGACAGTTCTTAATGGCTTCCATAATCTGAGTTAGAGTCAGCTCCCTTACCTATTCCTCTGAGACTTCGGAGATAGCATCCCCAGGATCAGCAGCCAGCGGGTCAGCTGATGGACAAGGAGTGGAGTCCAGCCAGTCTAGGGCAACCTCTTCCCAAAATGGGGTAGCAAAGCATGCGGCCGCACCGGAGGCCTGAGAGGTACGGGTGCCATCTTGGGTCCCATGTGCGAAGCGTGCCAGCTGGGAGGCACAGAATGGTCTTTCCTAATCTAGACCATCATCAAACTCCGCAGGGGAACTTCCCAAGCACAGATGTAGTTCTAGAACGGCGGTAGCAACACTGGCTGAGCAGGATTATGTAACAGGGTGATAGTGGAAGCACGGACCACGGAAAGCAAGCTGCTCACATACCGGAATCCGGACACGCTCCCCAACTCAGTTTTTAAGCAGTGACAGCAACAGTTTTTTCTTCTTTTGGGATAAAGGTTTTACATAATTCAATATCAGATGACCATTGTAAGCCCCCCTGTCACTGTGAAATGGTTTGTCTCAAACCACTAACTGCCACTTTTGCTGGATAGCTTGGATAGTTAAAGGAAGCTGAAAAATATCAGATTTACTGGCTGGAACACCAGGTTAAAAGAAAAGCAAAAAAAGCTTAAAAGAAAACTAAAGCCGCCACCACATCTAAGTATTGGTAAACTGCAGTACATTACATTTTTGTTCTGGGGTTTATTGCCATTTAAACTAGGAAAACAGAAACACAAAATTCACTGTGTTGTCATAGAAAAATCACATTCTAGCAGTCATTTCAGCTGTCAAAATCAGGCCCCCAACTTTCAGAGATGAAAAAGGAGGGGCAACTGCGGAGAAAAGAGGAGGTGAAGGTTTCAGTTCCATGGAGGGACAGTCGACCAAATAAGGACAGCTTTTGTGTGCAGTTTGCAAAAAAAAAAAAAAAAATAGCTATATTAACAAGTTACTGCGGCGTGTTGTCTAAATATAAAATCACAGCCCCCCGCCTGCAATCAGTAATGAAGACCATAGAACTCAGAGGCTGGAAGCAGGTCAAGGCATTTGGGGATCTGTAATGAAGACAGGATTAAAAACCGCTTGACGCACATCTGACCTAAGTAACTTTTCCTGTACTGGAAATGAGAGTCTGCCACAAACATTAGAGGTGAATTTCTGAGCACAGCAGTGTAATAACATCATAGCTTCAATGGTTCTAAAACAGGTAATGAAGCATGTCTCATCCACACAATAGAAACTTGCAGCTTCATTTTATTCAAGCACCACTTATTATTGTCTGGTTGCTGTCTGATTTTCTTCAGAAAAACCTAATTTCAGGAAAGAGCATTGGAAGCACCTTATATCAGATGCAAAATAAAAACGTCAACCCAACGGCTGAGAAACTGAGAATCTACCATGACTTAACATCTGCCTGTCAGGGTAGGCTGTGATCTGTAGTTCCTTACCCACTCAAGGGGCTGCTTGACAAATTCTGGTACATACAGTATTCACTAGCTGAAATATAAAGACAATTGGCTGCAAAGTATAAAGACAATATTCTGCAGCATTAGCAACTTATAGGGCTAAATGGTTAGCACTTCTGCCTGGAAGTACTGGGGGTCGTCGGTTCGAATCCCAAACACGGCACTACCTGCCTAGAGTTTGCAAGTTCTCCCTGTGGTTGCGTGGGTTTCCTCCAGTTACTCTGGCTTCCTCCCACATTCCAAAGACATGCTAGTAGGTTAACTGAATCCTGTCTAAATTGGCCCTAGTATGTATATGTATGAATGTGAGTTAGGGACAAATAGATGGTACTCTCCTTGAGGGTTAGGGACCGATGTAAATGTACAATACATATATGTGCTGCATAAACTGACAGCATTATACAAGTACATGTAATAAAGAAAATATTTCAATCCTACACATTGAATAAAAACAGCCGACATGTCCCCATGGTCTCATTAACATTTTAAAACACAACCTCATTTTTGTAAATTGTATTAATGGCAATCTGTTTTCTCATTATGCTTCTAAAGGATCTTGAAATATTTGAGTTCATTGAAAAATGTTCATACTTTTATTATCTTGGATAAAACTCATTTATTTCCACCACTATAAGCAGTATTTCTTAATAAGGGTAAGCATGTACGATTGGCAAAGATAGTACAGGTGTCTCAGACTTGTATGGATAGATAGGTACCATTGTCCCAAAATGGAGGCCACAGACTCCTGCTGATCCCAAGTCATGAGTTAGGGTCCTCGTAGGACTAAAATGTGAAGTACTGAGGAAGACAGGTGCACGCTAATCAGTGCCTGCTGAGGCTTCTCCTGACCTCAGATATGATTTGAAGGACCCTGGAAGAGGATTGGAGTAGGGGGATAAATAATGTGCCTCACAAACACAGACATACATTAACAGTCATATAAATACAATTTTATTAATACAGTTAAAAAAAATGTTAAAATATATTAAAAGCATTCCATATCCTTTTCCATATTTTCATTCACTAATATGAGGTATATACAAAAAGAAGCTAGGTTGATCGATGCATTTCAAATATAGAATTCAAAAACGTCTAGAATAGAAAATAACAAATAAATAATATATCACATTTGTATACCTAGCAACATTTACATGTTACAAGCCTCATCCCTTTTGTAATTGTGGTTCCTGATGAAACAATTCTATAATGAAATGTGTCTATCCACCAAGATTCATTTGTATATGCATCACGCTAGCGAATGAAAATTTTGAAAAGGGTATGGAATGTTTCTAATTTCTTCACATTATTAACTGTATTAATAAAATTGTATTTTTTTATGACTGTTAATGATGTCTGTTTTTGTGAGGCACATTATTTATCCCCGTACTCCAATCCTGTGACTCGGGCAGCAGAGGTTTATTTTTCCTTTATGATTAATATATAGGGGATATGCCTAATGGTTTTTTGTAAAGGTCTTCCATCCATTGTTATATTTAGGGTCCCTGTAAGACTTATTCACAATACCACTACAGGCAGACTACTGCTAAAGCTCCTGCTGATCCCTGCTATGACCTGGGGTACTAGGAAGACTCAAACAAGGGCGGACTGACCATTTGGAAACTCGGGCACTGCCAGAGGGCCCGGGGTCGGTAGGGGGCCCCATGAGATGCCCCTGGTACCTTTTTCATAGGCTTTTTTGAGTTTGGGCAAGGACACAGAGGCCCCATGATCCCCTATTGCCCGGGGGCCCCATGAGTTGTCAGTCCGCCCCTAGACTCAAACATGCAATACCACAATAAGGAGACTTTACAAACCAATTCTGAACTTGCTGAGTGTCCTGCTAATCACTGCCATAAGTTAGGGTCCTTGGAAGACTAAAATGTGAAGTATCACTATATGGAAACTGCACACATTAATCCGGTGCTTGCTGGGGCTCCTGCTAATCCCTGCCATAAAATGGGGACCTTGGAAGACTCATTCCACACACTAAAGCTGGCCATATACTAATACATTTTTTTCCTTCATCCTGCAGGCTGAACAAAACATATCTAACAGATTCTACCATTGTCACTAAACAGTGCGGATTGTCGAATCTCCCACTGCAACCATGCACTCGCTGTTCAGCCAGAAATTTTCTTCCCATTCAATATGATGTATAGCTCTTGTAGGTGAGAAATGCAGAACTGAAAGTGGGTACCTGTCACAAAAAGGTAACAATTCCCAGAAAAAAAATATAAAAAAACCCACCAAAGTTGTTAGAGGAGATGGTGGATGGGGGTGAGAGGTTGTTTCATTTTTAAATGAAGGTCCACTTTAATCCAGTGCTATCCCTGTTATAACTAGGGGTGCTCTTTAAGGGTCACCCAACAAACAGCACATACTGTTCACAAATTTATGTCAAACAATCTTTAACCACCTGCCCTCCAGAGGATTTAACCCCCTTGCTGACCAGGACATTTTTTGTGATACGGCGCTGCATTACTTTAACTGACAATTGCGCAGTCATGCAATGCTGCACCCAAATGAAAATGAAATTTATGTCCTTTTCCCCACAAATTGAGCTTTCTTTTGGTGGTATTTGATCACCTCTGAGTTTTTTTTTAAATCTTTTTGCCGACAATTTTGAGAAAAAAAAAACAAAACAATTTTTTTTTGACTTTTTGTTATAAAACACATCCAGTAAAATTTTTTTTAAAAAAAATCAAATTTTGTCATAAATTTAGGTCAAAATGTATTCTCCTATATGTCTTTGCTACAAAAAAAAAAAAAAAAAAAACCTCACAATATGTGTAAATTAATTGGTTTAGGTGAAGGTTATAGCGTCTACAAATGGCAGTATGTATACTGAAATTTTTTTTATACTAGTAATGGTGGCAATCAGCGACTTATGGTGGCACTGCGGGACTGGGGCAGGCATTCTGACACTGGGGGGGGGGGGACTGACTAACTGCCACTGACATCCCCAGTGACACTAATACAGTGATCAGTGCTAATAAAAAGCACCGACACTGTACTAATGACGCTGGGCAGGAAGGGGTTAACATCTGGAGCAATCAAAGGGTTAACTGTGTGCTGTTTTACAAACTGTGCTGTGTGCGATTTACTGTGTAAGCATGCTGCTTTGTATTGCTCTACTATGCAAAGCAATACAAAGCAGCATGCTGGTGCTGACAGGGGAGAGATCTGTATTGTTTACATACAGACCTCTCCCCTGTCAGTGTTCCGCGACGATCGCCGGGTGCCGGTGAGGAATATCCAGCCAGGACATGTTGATCGACAGCTGTAGCTACCAACGGCGGTGTGGTTAGGATAAAGCGCAGACCCCCTACTCGGAAATACAAAATCACGTATATATACACACGTGATTTTGCGCAGCCCTGCTGCCCTGTAGCAGTATTTCTGCTATAGGATGGTCAGGAAGTGTTTAAGAACATTCAAGAGGGATGAGTATATAAGTGTCAATGTGGGGGGGATGTTATATTAAACTGTCTAAAAGTCTGTTGTCTGAAATCTAAAGTTTACTTTTCAATTTACTCATGTTATGGACATTCTTTGATGGTATTGGTTCTACACCAATATGTGTCTCCCCGGGGAACAATCGAAATTTGGACTGTACATAACTTCGTTCACATCATCACCTTCTTCACTAACATTCACTTTGTTAAAAGAGAAGCATGGCTAAAGCTTCTTTGGCCATACTTTTCTTGCAAGTCACAGGAGTGCACTTATTTGTGCTCTCCAGTGACCCAGAATCAGGCAGGATCACAGACAGGATCCACTCAAATGCTCAATTGGCAGCTGACACAGCTTCTCAGAGAGCGTCAAAGGCAGCTGCTCCCACCCATTTCCTAGGGCAGTGCTCCAGTGAGTGCTGGTTGGGCACAGCAAAGAGTGGTGATCGACAGTCACTGATCTCTGCCTAGAGCGGACCAAGAACTGAGTGATCAGTGGTCATGTAAGTGCTCAGTTATCAGGCTTAGAGCAAGCTGCAGCATCAGACTAATGCTAAAGCATGGAAGTGAGTATGTACATTGTTTAACTACCCAGGGGCGGACTGACCATTTGGAAACACGGGCACTGCCCGAGGGCCCGGGGTCAGTAGGGGGCCCCATGAGATGCCCCTGGTACCTTTTTCATAGGCTTTTTTGGGTTTGGCCAAGGACACAGGGGCCCCATGATCCCCTATTGCCCACGGGCCCCATGAGTTGCCAGTCTGCCCCTGTAACTACCCCAAATCCCTCCTTTAAATAGCCCAGGGGTGGGCAAACTTTTTGACTTGAGGGCCGCAATGGGTTCATATATTGGACCCGGGGGCCGGACCCATAGTAATTCATCCCCCATATAGTAATTCATCCCCCCTATAGTAATTCATCCCCCATATAGTAATTAATCCCCCATATAGTAATTAATCCCCCATATAGTAATTCATCCCCCCTATAGTAATTCATCCCCCATAGTAATTCATCCCCCATATAGTAATCATCCCCCATATAGTAATTAATCCCCCATATAGTAATTCATCCCCCATATAGTAATTCATCCCCCTATAGTAATTCATCCCCCCTATAGTAATTCATCCCCCCTATAGTAATTCATCCCCCATATAGTAATTCATCCCTCATAGTAATTCATCCCCCCCATAGTAATTAATCCCCCCATAGTAATTAATCCCCCATACAGTAATTCATCCCCCATAGTAATTCATCCCCCCATATAGTAATTCATCCCCCATATAGTAATTCATCCCCCATATAGTAATTCATTCCCCATATTGTGTCAATTCACTTACCTTTGCTCTGCGCGTTCCTCTCGCCGTGTTCCTGCGCCGTTCCGGTCTTCAGGGCGGACTGTGAGAGGAGCCTAGCTCCCCTCACGTTCGTCACGCTGCCCCGCCTACATCCTGACAGCCAATGTTTGCCACGCTCCGCGGGCCGGATTAAAAGGTCCGCCGGTCCGTAGTTTGCCCATTGCTGAAATAGCCTGTGCTTGTTTAGTAATTCAACCCCAATTCTATGATAGAGGCACTGCCAAATCAAATAAATGCAAACTATTTCACCATTTTAGGTAAAAATGCACTTTGCAAATGGAACATGCTCTATTCCTTTACTGAATCAACATCATTATATATAGTATAACAATGTTTTAAACATGATAGGCTATAACTAGCATAATGTTAGCCTTCCTAGCATTGTAGTTTCTCCAACCATTGGTATAGACTATGTTCATTATTATTTAGCCAAGATATATATATCAATGACAATGATTCCATTTGTATTCAGACTTGATGTAGTTAAGGTATAAAGGACTGTAAAGACTGACCAACCCTGAAAAAGAAGGACACTAAGACATGACCTCTAAGGTAACTTAAAAAAATGTAAATGTGTTATTTCTAATGTAAGATCAGTTTGGGCTGGTCAAAAAATAACCTGCTGTTTTGTTTCTTTTTTTTTAGTTTCTCCCTATTTACACAAGTTTTAACAATAGTTACACCTATCTGTAAACCCAACTTTTACAGTCCAGGAGACTCAAATGGAAAGATTTGCCAGCAGTAGCTTCTGCCCCATCTCCTCCCACAAGACTATATTGTAGGTGTGACTCTTTTTCATCAGGAATCTTCAAGACAGGTGTCACACTTTCCCAACTGGATTGCTCAATTTTTATTTTACCTATGTGATGTAAACTCCACTGAGGAAGAATGACATTATCACGACAAGGTGCTGTAATGGCCATGTCAATATAGCAGATATGGGAATTCTGATGGAGATATCTCATTATGGTAGTCCTTGGAAAATAAGAGGCCAGCATGGGAATCACCTTGCCAGTGTCTGTGCAAAGGAAGTTTTAAAGTTAGGAGGTGCTGGCCTTTTTGTACCTCCAGCTGTTATCTATTAGACTGACTGATAGTACACTTTTACTTAATCTCACCTGTTTTTGAGATGAGCCTCTACATCACAGCGCTGCATGGTGTCCTTGCATGCATTGGAAAAAGGACAGGAGACGACCAGTTTGTCCAGCAATTTGTGCACAAGGATGCTGGATTTCCTGCACAGTTTAAAGTGCAGCCTCTTTCGGTCCAGCGGACAGAAGTCCTTCTCTTGTAGGAAGTTTCTGAGGCACTTGTAGCAGAAAGTGTGGCCGCAGGGTGTGTCCAACGGCTGCAGCAATGGTTGAAGGCAAATGTGGCAAACCAGGTCATCGTCCACTTCATTCAGGTAATTATACAGGTGGTTCTCCCTTGTCCAGTGCTGCTGACCACACTCAAAGCAAAGGGGGTTCAATGACGAATCATCCTCTGCCACCACCAGTTCTTCAGTCGCCGTCCCCATACTGACCCCAGCTCTGATGCAACTCAACAATCCGCCACTCTCTTGGTCATTAGCACTACATAGAAAAAAGGATCATGGTCACTTGTCTTCCTAGGAATAAGAAAATAGATTTTCAGATCAGAAAGAGGAACACATTATCATTGGAACACAGGAAAAAAGAACTGGAACAGACCGCTGGGAACTTGGTGAAATGGGTCACACTGAAAGACATTTTTAGATATGCAAGTGCATGCAGTAATTACAGTGCACAGTCACGTTTGAATATATTTTATGCGCGTGTCTAAATTCATACTGTTGTACTGGAAAATCCCTTCACACTGAAATCTTAGTTTTACAGTGTAAACTTCATCTTTTGCTATAATGGAATAGGTTCACTTGGGTGCAGGTTGTAGTTTAGAATGTTATCAAGTCCTCTATCTGGCTCTAATATAGCAGAAGAGCCACAAATTTCAGACTTCAAACACATGGGGCTTATTCAAATCAGAGCAATTGTTCCGTAGGACAGAATGGGGCCACAAGCATATATTTTTTAGTTTTGCTAGAGGCTTTATGAAAGGCTGGAAGGTCCTGCTTAGAACGGAATCAGGGCTGAAGAGAACAAATATTTATCCAGATGTGTTGCATTTGGGGCGGGTGGGGGGTGTTTGGGCAAGTAGTTAAACAATTCTACTTTTGGTCCCTTAAAAGTGTCCGTCCATGAAATAAACCTTCTTTATGTTGAATAACCATACACTAAAGCAGCCCATAGACATAAGAATGCCTGGGAGACAATCCCATCAATCTCGCAGCCCTGATCCCTTGCAGTTCATCTTGCTTACGTAAAAGCAAAGTTCCAGTGAGTGAAGCATTGGTGTGCTGGTGACTACTACTTTCTCATGCTCTTTGATGGTGTAATCTGTTCAGTCACAACATTACACATGTTTGGGTCTAAATGCTTTCAGGTTTCCACTTTGGTTACCCTCTTACTGTATGCCGGCAGTTAGATACCGGACCTCCAACAGTTCTTAGTGGGAGCATAAATAAGGAAGGTTAGAAAACCTGTCCTGATGACTATTCTTCCACAAGACAAAGCAGTATCATCCTGTGCCCTTCACCTCCTACCCTCCCCTTTCTATTACAGTAAATGTGTTAGGTCAGCTGAGCCCACTATAAAGGCTTATGAAGTGCCACTCAATGCTCAAGAGATATTATGACATGAGGACATCCTGACTATGTCCACATGTCCCACTAATGTCTATAGCCAGCCAAGATCTACAACCAAACACTGTACAAGTCAGAATTCTAGAACTGAGCCTAAGTTCTTCAAACATAGAAAGCAGAATATTAATAGGATTCGTCTTGTTTTTTCCCCTTAACAATTTTTCACCAAGTTACAAATGACAAGCAAGTGTTAGTGATTTCAGCATGTTAGTCACACATTCTGTGCTACTCAACATCTCACTGCATCCAATTTACCATGGTGTTATAAATGCAGATACAGACAAAAGCTGTAGCTTTTGTCGTTAAAAACTAATCTATTTGCATTTTTAAAAGGAAATATAAATTCACTTGGGAGACTGTTGTGTGTTATTACCCCCATTACTGAAGAAAGATAACAAACTGATATTAAACACCGTGCAAGAAAGGAATTATTGCTGGCTATACTGCAAAATCTATACGTGGCTGCAATTCTATTCCACAGATGTCATGAGGTCATCATATATTTTATAAAAACAGCTTTTGTGTAATAATAATTGGATATTGCTACATAAACACAGAGGGACTGTGCAGCAGTGGAAGGCTGGTTACATCTGGTTCTGTAAAGAGCAACATGATGTAAAACACTGACTGGGCAAAAGTATGGGTTTTCTTAAGGGTCCGTTCACAATATAGAGTTGTGGTTACAAATCTGCACGTTACCGCAACATTTGCCAACGCACACTCCATGCATTAATTTTGAATGGCAC